TTCGCTGGTATCTTGTTTCGCTGTAAAGAGCAGTAATCTTGCAGTTGTGGAAGTATTCACATGGATGCTATGACCGTGGATGCGCACGTAAAATGAAGATGCTGCGGGCAAATAGAGGGGGGGGGGGTGAGGGGAAAACCGGAATCCCTACACTCCACATAAATCCTGAAGCCCTCTTCTAGCTATTTGGGGCCCTGCTTCCCCAAACCCCAAACATTAAACTCTAAACTCTACACCCTAAACCCCCAAACCCTAAACTCTAAACCCTAAACCCCAAAGCCTAAACTCTAAACCCTATTCCCTAAACCCTAAACCGCTACTTCCGACTGAGCCGAAGGAGGGAGCGGGAGCTGCGAAGTGAGCTCGAAGTGAGGAAAGCTCCGCGAGAGGGCGAGGAGTAGTCATATTATGAGTTTGAGGATTTAGGGTTTAGGGTGTAGGGGTTTAGGGTTTAGAGTTTAGGATATAGGGGTTTAGGGTTTAAGGATTTGGGGTTTAGGGTTTAGGGTTCAGGGATGTTTGGAGTTCTAGGATTTTGTGGGATTTTCAGTTTGGGGTATTTGGGGCTTGCAGTTTTGGGGTACAGGGTTTGAGAATTATGGTTTTATGGCAGTCTCTTTAGATGGTTTGAGTATTTGCATTGTTCTTCATCAAAAACAGTTTGTGGGTGTATGTAGGTCTACTGGAGTGATGGAGAAGAGTTTGGGAGGTTCTTTCTAACCAGGGACCATTTCTTTCAAAACCAGGATCTTATCGGAGATCCTGAGTATTGGGGTGTTGAAGCAGTCCATGCTGAAGGAGCACGAGCTATGTTCTACCCCGAAGCCCAGAGCCTGAACCCACACAATGATTTCAAAAGCCTCAAGCCACAACCTCAAATAGCCTCAAACCCTGCAGACTACACTCCGTTCATGAGGGACGTTTTGTCCATCATCTGCGCCTCAAAGCACTCCAGCTATAACACATGAATTGCAACCTGGAGTCCATTTCGTTACTTGCCTGCAGATCCTAAACTATGCTTTCAGATGGTTATGCATCATCACCTGTAGGAACCTCGCGCTATCTCGCAAATCCAACACCTAGTCCCAAACCCTAAGCACAAAGGCTATCCCTCCCCAACAACAGGTAGAAACAAACTCCAAACCCTGAATTCGCATCCCGCATATACCTGCTTAGGCCATTTGGTAGTTCCCCTAACTAGGGAGACCCCAATGTAGATTTTAAGGACCCCCAAAAGCTATCCCTAATTTTGGAAACCCTAAACCCTACGCATCGCAATATAACCCCGTAATCCCCTTTCAAGGTACCCCTTTCTTTGGGAGACCATCGGCCCTAAACCCCATATAACCCTAAAAAACACACAAAATGGTAACCTTAAAATTGGGAACGCCCCAAAAACCTACTTAGGCAATTATCAATCCTATTCCAGGAGCCTCCACCTCCATCCGAGCGCCGGGTGAAGGCAGGAATTTGAGCCCCAAGCTTGGGGCGGGGCTAGGGTTTAGGATTTAGGGTTTAGGGTTTAGGATTTAGGGTTTAGGGTTTAGGGGCTGGGGAGGGGAGGGTTCAGGGTTTCGGGTATTTGCCACGAACACGAGGGAAGCAACCTTATCAGCTTCGGCTTCCACATCTTTACCCGCGTAAGCAAAAAAAGGCTTCCCATGACCGAACCTAATATGCCGGATGAAGACATTTCACCCCTAACCCTAAACCCTTAAACCGAACCCTAGACCCTGAACACAAGGTGTGTAAGGGTCCGCCGTTTTGTGGACCCAGCACGCTTCGGCGTGCACACTCAGCACTGGAAAGCACGGGCAACTTCAGCAAAGCCGATGTTGAGGTTCGTGATTTACGTGGACCCCTTAACTGTTATAGGGTCTAGGCTTTAGGGTGTAGGTGGACCTCCCACCCTGTAATACTGGTATCATATGCATATACGAGGACCCTAATATAATCACCATTATCCACTGTCACTATTACAGGATAGGGGTCCGCCTAAGGCATGACCATCTTTTTGTTCCCCTATTCCGTCAGCAGTCTCCGCAGAAAGGGATCCATGGGGGGAATCCACAAATTGGGGGTCCGCCTTTTGGGAGTCCCTATTATCGGGAATATATTGGGATTATATGGTAATAATGGAAAAGAAAATGGAAACTATCATAATGGGTTATATAGGGTTCAGGGTTTAGGATTTTAGTATTGGGGCTTATGCTGAGCCACAGGAATTCGACAGGCGGAGTGTAAATCGATGCCAGGATTCCTTTCACACGGGGCTGTTCACTCAACTACAGGCCCCAGACCCTGAATCCTAAACCGTTTAAGTCGGCTTTCAATCGCCAGGTGCATGTCTCCGACATCCAGGGCCCCTTGCGCACGATCTCGGCGGACACTACCTGGCTGAGCCCAGTCTTCAACATGGTGTTCTAGGAGTTAGCTCCTCATAATCGCGGAATATCCCACACCCTCGAAACGATTGTTCTACCAGTATATCGTGGGACTATTTCGGGACATTGATTACTGGTGAACTTTGGGGGGGGTGTACTGTTAGGGGGAGGTGACTGCCGAATGCACTGGGTACCATTACCAAGAAAATACTAAGGACAAAACATGAAAATAGAGGGTGTAATAGTCATGAATCATCGTTCTAAATGGGTGTTGGCCAGCATGCCCTGTATGGAGAGCGTTGCTGCTCGCTCCTCCACGAGTTCCAATCAGGGCCAATGCTCTCCTGGACGCCAAATAATCCCTAAAACCTGAACCTTAAACCATAAACCCTAAACCCTACAACCTAGCGATAACTCAAAAAAAGGCAATGATTCTACGTACTTGATGGGTTCAGGAACGGATATGCAAGGGCATCCTGCGGGTTTGGGGATTCTGTAGAGGTATTTCGGGGTTGCTGTTTAGAAGCTTCAATTAAGTCATGTCACCAAATTGAGGAAATCATATTATTTCCTATGTACCCATAAATTTTACGGTAACTTTAAAAGCAACCTAGTTTCCTAAGTCATCAAGTTCTGGACTGCTGGTGGACTATCACTGATACCAGACAGAAGAAAGTGAAATCAAGCACTAGTCCCCTCCCCCAAATATTAACCTCCCCCACTCGCCCCCTAACATCAAATATTCCCATTATGTAATATATTATACTCGATTGGGAGTATTTCTTAATTTTAGGAGTGTGGGAGGGCTTAACAGTACGGGGAGGGGATTATGCGGAATTGTCTCGTAGTGACAAAGAGCAGCAAGACTCAGAGTTCACAGCTAAGTATCGCAGCTTACACCAGTTGAGATCCAAAGCAGCAAACTCTAGACCTAAGTCCTGGGCATGGTCCTAAACGCTAAATCCCAAAACCCGAAGCAGAAACCCTAAACCCTAAGCCCAAGACCCTAAACCAACCAAACCCTACAGTCCTAAGCCTTAGAGATCCTTGGCCCTAACCTCGTGATAAACCTACTGGTGGTTAGTAGGGAAGCAGGGAATATTCATATGTAGGGGTCATATTTGGAGTATATCCCCATATTCCCTGCTAATCCCAAATCCTAAACCCTATATAACCCTGACAACCCTAAATCACCTTATATAACCCTGTATAACCCTTTACAACCCTATATAACAACCCTAAACCCAATATATCTGCAGAATGGACTTTGAGTTGTAAGGATCCTCGACGTCAAGAAGCAGCTGGAGCGCAGCGAAAAGGTTCCAGTTGGGATCCAAAACATGGGGGGTTGCTCAACAGGATCTGTATCCAATGCTTAAGGTTTAGGGTTCAGGGTTTGAGATTTGGGGTTGAGGATTTAAGGTTCGGGGTATCGGGTTTAGGGTGGATCTCCTTCCAATCTCCACATCTCCTGATTGTTCCTAGTGTATTCTGTTATTAGCAACTCCCAACTACGCAGGTGGCTTGAAAGGAAGCGTGGCCTAGTATCCTCAGGTCGCCCTAGACATCCAAAGCCTAAAATCGAGCGCAAAATGGGCTTTCCCAAAATTAGGGGTACCTCTTTGGGGGTCCCCATGATGAGGCTTATTGTAATTTAGGGTTTATATTGGAGTGCCCCTGTTTGTGGATACTACCAAACCAGGCTTGGCAGATTTCAACGGATCCCTAAACCCTAAACCCTAAAGCCATATTAATGAAAGCCACGAACCCTAGACCTTATCATTTTCCTGCTTCCGTGAAGGTGGCGCGCCAAAGACAGCGGCTTCTCTGGAAGGACCTTCTTCCGCAACCTTGGGTATACTTGAGGAGGACCCCCCGCCCTGTAGTAGTGGTATAGTAGCGATATAATAGGACCCTACGTAATATATTCTTCAATATCTTTTATAGTGACTAGTACAGGTTGGGGGGGTCCTCCTAAGATATACTTGTGAGGGCTTGGGGCTTCGACTCTGGGAGTGTGTAGAGGGACGGCATTCATAAGGGTTTTGGTTACCCCAACCGGCCCCAACCCCCAAATTAAGGTCCCCGTGACTATCATATACTAGGAGTTTAGACTATAGTTCATATAATTCTCATAGAATAGTAGAGCCTTAGAAGGTCCAGATTTTAGGGTCGGGGTTGCCAAGCTCTTGTTTATGTACGTATTTATGTAGACAGACAGATAGATAGATCGATGCATAAAGTGATAGTGTCTAGTGGCCCGAGTCTAGTGCTGAGCGACTTGGGCTTGAGGTTGCGGGTTACCGGCTCCACGTTCTACAGCTCGGGTCATGTGTGTCTGGGCAGTTGCACGTGAATTTTTGACGTGATATAGGCTTGAGCTTGAGTTCCGTCGACGCTTGAAACCTTTGCTTTCGCACGCAGATCCTTTCTATGTAGAAGCCTTTGAAGTAGGTGGCATTTGGACCTTCTTTACCCCGGCTAGTCAACTTAGTAACGTTTGATGAGAGGATGAGGATTTTGGCGATCCCGCCCTCTCGAATTAGGAGTGTCCTATAGTCAATATGATAGCCATGGGGTCCTTATTCTGGGGGTTTAGGGTTTAGGGTTTAGGTTTAGGGTACCAAAAACCTTCCTCCAAAATCAATTTCCATTCGGCCAATTACTTGATTCCCTACCATTCCAATGGATCCCGAGATTGAGCCCAAAGCCCCAAGCCCTCGAACTTCAAAACCCTAAACCCTACATCCCATCTACATCCCCTACACCTATTGCAGCTTCCCTTTTCCTTTTCCATAATCCTCTTACTCACATTCAGAGTGCAAGGAAGCTGCACCTTGTGCAGCCTAAAGTTGGATCTCCAGAGACTTACACCTTGCATGGCAAGCACAAAAATTCAAGTGGGGAGTAATTCAGGGGCCTAACTAATTACCAATATTATGGTTCAATATTCCTTAGATAGTTATAACCCAAGTGGCTTGAGCCCTAGCCCCGAAACCCTAAGCTGTTGACTAGTTTGTGTTTTCTTTCCCATGTTGTTGATGCTTATCCATTGCTTTTTCCCTGATGAGGCGTGTCAGGCTGCACAAAACCTTAGGTTTGAGCCACCATGCGCTGACAGTGCATTAAAAAACACACGCAGCTTTCAAGCTTACACACAGACAGGGCGTCTGGGTGGCTGTGGCAAACTGCGCTTCATCCGATTACATATAGTCCCCCTTAAGTAGATAGAATATGGGGGGAGATGGGGATCTTACTATAATATACCCAAAGCCATATTCTGTCTACTTAAGGGGGACTCTAGCATGGAAGCTCCAACTTTAAGCTTTCATTTCTCGTCTCATCTGGATGTGTTTCCGCGAGAGTCCTGAAGCACCAGTCTCGCTAGCTGTTTAACAGGTTTTCCCCACATTCCCCGCGCATTTTTCATTTCAACAGCCGCAGGTTGTAGGCTGCTAACGTAGCCTCTCCCGCACCTGTCTGGAAGTTCGTCAAAGTCGAAACTATGATTCCTTTTGGGTCTCTTGTGTAATACGGCCCCTCGAATACATAGTATCCCAAAATCGACCATCCTATTAGCATCCACCCCACCACCACATACGAAAGGGTCCTGGCGTAGTGACTTTCGCCAGGACCGGGACGCTGATGACCTGGAGCCCGTTTGCGACCTCATAGCCGGAGCCGAACGCTTGGACTTGGTGCTTGTGGTCTGCATCTCGGCGGCGACGGTTGGTTCAAGGATTTGCAGGGGTTACCCCTGGTACCCCGGCTAGGTTTCAAAATAACTTAGAACCTTTCCTGCCCTCAATCCACACACATTCGCCTAGGTTCAAAAAAGTTTGTTGAAAGGTCTTTGGTTTACCTTTCAGCGCCAAGGCCTTTTGAGGTGAGTTTTGTAAGGCTCCGAAGGGTTTGATCACGTTCTTTCGAAGGGGGCTTTAGCAACTGGCGACATTTGGAATCCTAAGCCCTAAGCCCCGCACCCTACACCCTAAACCCCCTCAACCCTAAATCCCTAAACCCTAAATCCCTAAACCCTAAACCCTAAACCCCCTCAACCCTAAATCCCTAAACCCTAAATCCCTAACCCCCATGTTTTTGAATGTTATACCCCAACTCTTCGAGCCCAGCAAAAGGCATCGTTTAACACCGTGGAGGAGCTCCTGCCCTTGGGGGTTTAGGGCTTAGGGTTTAGAGCTTAGGGTTTAGAGTTTAGGGTTTAGAGTCAAGGGATTAGGCTTTAGGTTTAGGGTTTAGAGTCAAGGGTTAAGGGTTTAGGGTAAATCCTAAGCCTTATAACGCCTTGCTATGGTACCTATATTCCCTATGTAATCCCCAGCGTATCCTCACATTCCCTATCTTCCCTAGGCATGGACAAGCATTTCAAACTCGACCTCTTCGTTGGTGCCTTCCGGAGCAACTGGCGGACCTTGCAGTACCTCAACTTACTGGGGGTAAAGAGAGAATTAGGGAACACCATCTCCTTATTAACCCCTATATAATACAGTCCCTTCTTTATTCCCTACTAAGCCCCAGTACCTCAGCTGCTTTTTACAATTGCTTAGGGTTTGCGGGCAGCATTTTAAATTTTTGAATCCGTAATTATGGAAAGTAAAGAAATTGGGACCCGAAGTACTTGTTTTGTCTAAGCGTGTAGGGTTCAGGCCTTTGTGAAAATTTAGGGTTTAGGCCAGGGTATTGCAAAATTGAGCTTTTGTGCTATAGGATTCTAAGGTGACCACAATATGCTTCATACGTTCCATTTAGGTCAGTGCCCCCTCCAGTAATAGCCAAAAAATATCCCTTGCGGTGCCCATTACCTGGTGGGGGACTGACCTAATGTTCCATACGGCTCTGGTGGGGTTCAGGTTCGCCTCTTCCTCCTTGCGTGCGAACCCCAAGATCGTCAAGATGGTGGCCTGCCTAAGGTTTAGGTTTTCGGGTCTAATGTTGAAGCCATGGGCCCCTAACATGTTCCCCCTAGAATCCCTATGGAGTGCTAAGCGCCCATGTCAGGGGCTCATACTTCAAATCTGAGATACACAGTTCCCTATGATGAGCTACGATGAGTGGGAGTCCAGGGAAGCCTGTTTGCGCCATCCTCACACGTGCACTTGTGGGCCGTTCTGGAGACTATGGAAGGTGGTTCTCAACAAAGATTGAAACTTATTTAGGGTTGGGGGATGTTGTGAGCATGCTAAGTACCTGCTGAGCACCCAACATCCCTTTTGACGTTGGATTTCCATCCCAATTATCCAAATATGTCTGACATTCTATGTGTGCGGGGCGGGCCTTTGCGGGCGACAGGCTCGGGGCATCATGGATGGATGGAAGCTTTGCCTTCTGGGGGCTCTACACAGGGAATCCAGGTGCCCAGCAACATTTAGAAGTACTGCAGTATCATCTCTGTATTCTTACGCAGCTAATTAACACATAATTTACTCCACGGCCTTATCTTGATGGTGTATGCGCCTACAGTAGCCACGGCTTTGTTCACTGGCACCAACGCTCCTTTGGGCATTTCTCAAACTACCGTCTGCACTTTGAAGAAAAGCAGCCTTTTCATCACGCGGCGCTCTAGTACAACCGAATCCGTCTGAACCTGAGCTATAATCTAAACTGCTAAAAGGAGGTTACGTAGGGGATTATACAGGGAAGTATTGCAGGGGATCTTAAGGGGGGATGCTCGGAGCTTAAAGTCCCCTTAGGACTGAGTCGGCTGCTCATGAGAACCCTCTGACCTTTAGGGTTTAGGGTTTAGGGTTTAGGGTTTCCTTTGAACAATTCATCCTGCTTGGCCCTACAGTAAAATGTAGGGGTTTGGGGTTTAGGGCCTAAGTCAAACACTGACCAGTATTGGGCTCAAGGGTTTAGGGGCTTAGATTGAGTTTAGGGGGATATCACCCCATTAATGGAGAATCAAGTAGAAAAGAAGGGATGATTAGGGTTTAGGGTGTAGGGATGTATGGGACAATTGCCAAGTAAATGGTCCTGGATTCCTTGGATAGTTATGCTAGAGGGTACCTCAAGTTGACTTAAAAAGATAGCATTATCCACTACCACTCTAACCCGTACACCCTTTGGTAGAAGCCTGAAGGAAACCCAACATTGTTCCCTTCTAGCCTTTTCCAACTTCATGGTATAATGTACCCCTCAGCCAACTCGTATTGCTCCCCATATGGTGCTTGCATGATATACCGTGAACTCTAGCCCCTACACCGTATAAGCCCAGCTTCCATTTAATGTTCCATGTTGTTTTCCATTCGATTCTCCGTTATTTGGGCTCATATCCCTAAACTCTAAACCCCAAACCCTGATCTCTAAAATCTAAACCTTAACCCCAACCCCCAAATGCTAAACCCGGAGCCCTAAACGCTAATCCCTAAACCCTAAACCCTAAACCCTGAACCTAATCCCTAAACCCTGAACCCTAAACCCCTAAACCCTACACCCTAGGCGCTACACCAAGACTGGCATGCCTTAGCCTTCGCGTCTCCTGAGCTCCGCGCAGACTTTTCACTGGCAAGGCCTCTAGGTACCCCAGTAGTACCCTTTTACCCTTTTTATTTGGGTTTAGGGTTTAGGGTTTAGGGTTTAGGGGTAGTGCCCTTTTACCCTTTTTATTTGGGGGTCTCCTTATTAAAGCAGAACAGTAGGAAAAAGGGTACCCTTACTATTTAGGGTTTACTGGGGAACCTAGGCCTGTTTGAGAACTTTACTGCCCTTACACAGTTTAGGGTTTAGGGGCTTAGGGTTTAGGGGTTCAGGGTTTACGGGTTTAGGGGCTTAGGGTCAAGGGGTTTAGGGTTTAAGGGTTTGAGGTCTAGGGTTTAGGGGTTTAGGGTTTTTTGAGCCCTAAAGCCCTAATTCCCAAACCTAGACCGGTAAATTGGTAAATCCATCCTAAACCTTAAGCTCTGAGCCTTGTCAGCCCTAAACCGGAATTTCTTTTGGAACATATAGACTCCGGCGAAGACATTATGGGTTTTACTACATAAAGTTTAGGGTTTAGGGTTCGGTAGGCTTTTGGGAAACCATCCCCCTATACTACCCCACCCTAAGGTCCATTTCAAACTGAATCAGCCTTAAATGAGCCTAAGTAAGGGGGACCTTGTGAGGAGGCGGGTGAGCCCAGGCCTAGTTACCCAATGTCCAATCTCTCATCAGCATTACAATGCTCCCCCTGCGTTGGTTTCCTGAAATCAGGGATACCTTTTTGAGGGTCCCTATTATAATAAGGATAACAGTATTTGGGGGTCTGTATTGGGGTCCCCTATTTCAGGAAACTACAATACACACAGAAAATGAGTTTTTGTCACCCCAGAAACCTAAACCTAGGGTACTGCCCCCACCCAGTAACAGTCTATATCAGGGGTCCTATTAAGGGCTATATATAGCCATATTATATATATATATATTATCCAACTGTGACTGAGTGGGGGCAGTACCCAACCTAAACCCTTGAGTTGGTGATCTTGCGTTGAGAATTCTGGCAGCAGGGGTCGGGCTACTGAACTATGAAGTAGGGCGACAGGGGGCAGGGCAATGAAAGTGCGGATTTTGTGCTTCTATATAACCCCTATAATCTTTATACAACCCCTATAACCCCTATAGTTTCCATTCTATTTTCCAGTATCCCTATATAACCACTAAATAACACTAATTTATAATTGGATTTTTGGACCTTGGATCTCAGATCTTGAAGAGCAAGGTGGCGCAAGCAGGCAGATTTGACGGCTCTAGGGCAGTAGGGGAGGGTGATGCGCCCCAGCTTCCACCAGGGAACTTCTCCGAAACCCTTAAAGGAAGCCTTAAGCTCCTTACCCTGAATTGTATCACCATGAAGCCATGAAGCATCACTTTGAACCTCTACATGCAACCACCGCACCATGAGAGGCTGGCAGTTCGCACGGATGGTCTGGCGCTACAAGTGTTACCCGCGGCTGGTTACTTTTCAGTCTGTGAGTTTTCACTCTTGTGTAGCGACGTAAGGGTTGTTAGTTTGATGTTCAGGCCATGAAACAGGCGTCAACTACGTTCCGACTTGCATATCTGTTCTCCTTTTTGTTAACGGTTGTTCTAGTTTTCAAGTTGCTGCAAAGCTCACCTCTCTTCATGCTACTGCCCTGGCTTTTGCTGTAATCAAGGCGCGAATGCAAAACGACCGGCCGCTGGTGCTCACGGCCGTGCAGCAGAACTGGCGCGCACTGCAGTATGCATCCATCCGCCTCAGGGGCGACCGGGATGTTGTGCTGGAGGACCTCCTTTCCCTCTATTTAGGGATAATGGAAAAGAAAATGGAAACTACTATAATGGGCTATATAGGGGTTGTAGGGTATATTGGGGTTATATAGGGATAATGGAACATCATCCCTCTCTAGCATGACTCCTCATTTTATGCCTCTTGAGATGACATTACCCCCCGCAAAATCAGGGGACAATTCTTACTACCATTGCAGCCTTGTGCTGGAGGCCGTGAAGCAGGACACCGGCGCCTTGGAGTTCGCTTCACAGAGGCCTCAGGGGTAGGATTAGGGATGCTCGTCACAACGGGCCCCTTGTGCAAAACCTATCTAGCTTCCTTCAGGTTACCCCTACGGGCTACAACCCTAAGCCCCAGACCCTACATCCTAAACCCAAAGCCCCAATCCCTGAACTCCAAACCGTAAACCCCAAGCCGTAATCTCTACCCAAACCCCAAATCCTAAGCTCTAAACCCTAAACCCCATGATATCAAAACTCGAATCCCCAAATAGTAGTTTCCCTTTTCTTTTCAATTATCCCTATATAACCGAATATATACCCTGCAACTCCTATATAACCAGATATAGTAGTTTCCATGTTCCGAAGGCTCCGTGGAGACCGCACCGTGGTCCTCCTTGCCGTGCGCATCAGCGGCGCGGCCCTCCGCTTCGCCTCGCCAAAGTTGCAGGCAGACCTGGAGGTGGGACTTTCTTAATGATTTAGCATTTAGGGGGAGCAGGGTTTAGGGAGTTTACGGTTTAGGGTTTGGGGAGTTTAGGGTTTAGGGCAGGTTCTCAAACATGTGGTTCCTTTTCAGGTTTCCGTTTTTAACGCGGCCACCAACAGACGGGGGGGGGGCCAACAACGCCACCATAATAATTTTGACAACGCTCTATAAGGCAGGAGTTCATTATTCCTTTTATGGGTATTTCCGCCTACTTAAGAATACTGGCGAGTGTGGAATTCAGCTGTTTTTTGAGAGACGCCTTAAACCCTAAGCCCTGGTAAGAGCAGATCCCTAACTCCTGTATCATTCCAATATATTACTTGATCTCTAAACCCTCAAGCCCAGCACAAACAGAAATTGTGTAGGGCCAAAAGAAAGGCGAAACAGACAACTTTGCACAACACCCACCCAAAACTCCATGCAGTTGCTGCCTAGACCTTAAACCCTCATCCCTACAATCAGGTGGTCATCGAAGCCCTTCAGCAGGACAGCAAGGCCATCACCTACACAGCGCCTGAGATCCGCACAGATCCCAAGCTCCACGCCGCTGTGCGCGGCAACTCAGAGGTGCTCCGACTCCGAGATCGCAGGGGTTGGGGGGTAGTGTGTTTGGTTCAGGGTTTGCGGCTTAGGGTGGAGGACTTGGGGCTTAAGGTGTAGGGTTTCGGAGTTGCGGTTTAGGGTGTAGTTGGGGCTCAAGGTTTAGAGTCAGGTTTGGAGGCTTAACGTTTAGGAGGCAAGGCTTCAGGTGTAAGGCTTAGGGTTCCGGGTTTATGACTTTAGGTTCATGGCTCAAGGAGTATACGGCTCGAGTTGCAGGGTTTAGGGCGTAGTAGTCCGCAGACAATCCTCCATACCCAGGTGCTTCGATTCCTGGGCTACGACAATCGGGAGCGGAAGAACACGGAGCAAGAGTTGTTCGACATGCACATGGGTATTTTCAAGTGCCCTTACGATGACGAGACGATTGCTGCTGCCCTTCGGGGTGAACGTTTTAGGTAAGGCGTCGGCAGTCTGACTTCGACGCGAGGGCTCGCTTCTGAAAAATTGCTCAAACTGGTGTGTGCACAGTTTCCGCTTTTGAAATGAGGGGAAAGCTGGAAGTTCGGGGGCCCGTCACATATTCCTCCGTCCTGGCAACAGAAGCCCTCTTTCAGGTGTACCCGAGAGTTTTTGATAAGGCCCAATGTCCAGCGTCGACTGAACACATGATCGCAAAGCTCTGTAACTTTGGAATATAGAGGGGAACCCTGAGTTTGATGAATACCCAAGTTTGCAAGCTTCAAGATCGTGATGGCTCCGTGATTCCTCCTCTTTGCCAGTCATGTAATTCGAACTTTTCAACTATTTAGGGCAAAGCCTTGGTAAAAGGTCTCCGCATGGCCTGAATGATTCATGATTTCAAGGCTCATGCTGTCCTACAGCCATTGCTGCTCCTCACAGGATTAGCTTTCAGCCAGCCATACGATCTATTGGTACTTTAGGCCTTCACCGTCTCGCTCGGGGTCGACACGATCCTGGTCAGACGGCCTCCATAATGAATTCATCGAGCATGACGCCCGGATCCAGTCGGGATGGCGGTGAAAAGTTAAATTCACCAGCTTCAGTCAGAATTTCACTCTGGCAGAAGATGCAGAACTTGGGTTTATTGCTCCTCGCGGTGTCCCGGCCGCGCAGAGTAGACAGTTTAATTTCAAGGTTTTTTGTGTCCATTTCATGTCGGCTCATCAATCAGAAGAGGTCTCGCTTTTTAGATGGCACATAGGTGTGGGCGTGGTTCAGAGGCTGGCTGGACATGGTCATAGCGGGGATCCATGTGACCCAGGACTCGCCCACAGATGTGCAGTATGTTGCGACGCTGGTGGTGCTTATGGTTGGGGTGCTTGTCACAAACATACTTGGCTTCCTGCATTTTCGGCGCCAAGAGCGTTCCCTCGAGGCACGCGTTGCTGCTCTGGACATGGACACGCCATACCTTGCGTGCAAGCATGCAGCGCAGATTGTTCGCGGTGAGCCGTGCGTTGACTGGGAGTTGCTTCGGCTCCGCAATTCGGTGTGGCGCAGCCTGGTCTTGGCCATGCTGACCTTTGTCCTGGCAGCCCGCATCACATTCGAGATCCCAGTCTGTCGGGTCATCTCCACGTTGTCGGAATATGCTGTGCAGTCCTACCCGCACTTGGCCAACCAGTCCTTATGGGTGCATGATTTGGTCAGGGATGGGGTGGACTACCGGGAGTTGCCCCCGGTGCATCCGGTTGACGCTTTGCAGCCAGCGGCGCGAGTACGAGCCTTACCGCTCGCGATCGATGCCTTGCGAGTGGAGCATGAATATTGGCGCGCTGCGCACTGTCACGAGTTAAAGTGGGAAACTTGGATTAACTTGGGATTGCTTTGTCACCTCACCCGAACTTGCTTGTTGCATTTTGTGGGTTTCATATCTTCACAGTACACCTCAACGCTAGGAAAGCTCAACATAGGAAACGACCATGCTGCCCACATTCCAAGCGTTCCTGCAGAGCTGGGTCACGGGTTATCCTGTGGACCTCAACACGGATGGCAAGCAGGGAGGCATTGGCTCCGGCAACCTGTTAGCAACGAACTATGTGATTTTTGACAACTTCAAGAGTAGCGTGGTACAGGAGAAGCAGCGGTTGAAACCCGCTTTGCAAAATTTCGTGCTCAACTCACCGGATTTGGCCTTCACCCACCGTGCTGCAGGAGGGGTGGCGCTTTGGGGACTTCCCTGGAAGGGTCTTGTGGAAGAAGTCATTGCTACCATCTTGCAGCATAGAGATCGCACGCCCAGAGCAACCCTGGTTTCTGACAGGCCGTGGACCCTGAAAGCGGGCGCGCTCCAGTTAAGTGTTGCCAGCGGTTGGAAGCTCTACCTTTGCAAAACTTTTGCATTGTTGCTGGCATCCTTGCTTCCCATTCGTAGAAAAATCTTGGAGTCATGTCGCGTGACGGGTCTCGTCGATGTAGGTTTGGTGACTCTTTACACCAGCCTGGACCTAATGTGCCTTGTCGGCACGTGGCTGCTGTGTGCCGTGGCACCAGTGGCTCTAGCTTATGGCGAGCTTGTGAAGAATGGGGTCAGTGTCATGTGGCCCCATATCTTGAACATTCTTGATGTCTTGGGCAGCACGTCGTTTTCGGAGGCCAGAGGCGAGATTGCCATCCTCTTATCAGACGCCTTGGTCAAAGACATGCACAAATTGCTCACGATTGTGCAGTCTGGTATCCCTGCTGTCGAGTGGGACTTGTCATTCTTCCTGAAACTTGCCGTTGGCTCCTTGGCTTTTGTTGGGATGTCTGCTGCAATGGCCCGCATCGCATGCCCGAGAATGGCATATACCACCTGCCTGTCGATTGGCCTTTGTGGGCCACTCTGGGCTTTCACCAAGGAAGCCAAGGGTATGGCTTTAGCAAGCCGTGCTGCCCGCACATCTCTGATGGTTCGAACTCTGCTCTTTGCAACGGTAGTGGTTTGGAGGTGGAGGAATGTGGACCAGTTCTCCACACAGCTCTATGCGGCTATGGTCTTCAACAGAGTCATGAGCGCGATGTTTTTGAAGGTTTGCTGGGTAGTGTTGCTTGTTGTACATTGTCTGTGTGGGCTTGCAGCGGTGCATTGCGCTGAGCAGAGCCTGGAGATTGGAGATTTTAACATAGAGCATCGGTTTGGCAGTGCTGAACTACCCTATGGGACTTTCAGCACTTTGCCCAGGCAGCCGTCTCAGGCAAACATGTACGGGCCATAAGTAGATAGTTGAGCGCTGAACCGTGACTTGGAGAGGGGAGCCAGGAAACTTGCTGTTGGTTGAGACATGCTGCACTCTTGAACTTGCAAACGGGAGTTTCTCAAAATAGCTCCTTTCTCCTCTCATTATCCCTGTACACCCCTATTGTGAGGAACTCCCAAACACGGGTGAGTGTCGTGCCTCAATCCCACCCTGCCGTTCCAGCTTCAGCCAGGCAGCGCACGGGGACTTCAGCAGCGTCCCCGCGCGGCTTGGATGAGGAGATCATTGCCCTATAGGGTTTAGGGTTTAGGTTGTTTTTTCCAGACTAAGGGGTCCTTTTTGGGCGGTACCGATAATAAGGACTGTAGTATTCTGTGGTCTAGATTTTGTCCCCATATTTTGGGAAACTACCATGCGGAGGGGTGTCAGAATGGCCGTTTGACTCAGACGACGATTGCGCAGTCAAGCCATCTTCGTTCCAGGATTGGTGACGGTGAGTTCAGGAAGGCTGACAGCTACTGAGTATGAGGGTTTGAGGTCTGGTCTTATATAGGAGAAAGACGCATTTCCATAGCTCAAGGTTTGAGGTTTATCATGTGTTTGGGGGCCTGAGGGCTTGGATGTATGGACTTTGAGTCAAGACTTTCGCGTTTTGCTCATGAATATGTTTGTGTGCACCACAGCGGCGGCCTCCTGCTCTACCTTTCCAAGTAGCACACGACTTTGTTGCTGAACTGATATGTTTGTGTCAAATCGCGATACCGACAACTACGCATTTCACTTTTTTTTTGGGGTGATGTATTTGACGGAAGTCCCAGACGCACGGGCCCAGAAACCAATCTATTCTCGAGCCACTTAAGCGTTCCGCCCCCAGCTCCAGCCATCAGATGGTAGTTTCCCAAAGTAGCGGGACCCCGATATTGACCCGTATATACTTATAGAGCCCCCCCCCCCCCCCTTCAGAGGATACCCCTAAACCCCAAATCGCTGAGGGCCTCCTTTGCAACGGCGACCCAAAGCTACAGCCCCATGGAGGCTGGAAGCGTCTTTCAGGGTTTAGGGTTTTAGGGTGTAGGGTTTAGGGTGTGAGCTGTAGGACCCTTAGGTTACTAGCGGGTTAGGGAATCTAATCATAAAGGGTTGCAATCGGGTAGTTGCTTATACTGGGCTTATGAAAGGGGAAGGTGACATGTTTCAACCTGGGTCCCTTCGGGTTGTATGGGGCTTAAATACGGATAATGGAAAAGAACATGGAAACTACTATATCAAAATAGGGTATATATTAGGGTTTAATATGGGGGTCATATACGGATAATGGAAAAGAAAATGGAAACTACTATAGGGTTTAGGGGTTATATTGGGGTTATATTGGGACAATGGAAGAGGAAATGGACACTATGATCGGATTTAGGGTTTAAGATTTTGGGATTCCGGCTTTTGGGGTCCACTCTGGGATCGTTGTGCGGGGTTAGGGAGCTGAGAGGCAACGGTTCGCGATGGAGAGCTGCTGATTGGGCTTCAGGGCTACCCTAAACCTTCAACCCTTGAGCATTCCTGGCCTGCAATGCGCGAAGTCCATGCATAATCCCAAACTACGGTGGATACTAAACATCCTGCATGACCTTAAGTACCTGAATTATGGCACTATACTATTCAAAGGTCATGCAGGACTTTTAGTATCAGCAGTATGTCGGGTATAAAGTTATTTAGGGTCTAGGATCGTGCTGAATTTCTTCGTTCTGGCTAGCTGGGACTGAAGGAATGGATCTTTACAGCTGTTCCGTGACTTTCCCCGAAAAAGGTTTCCATGTTCTTTTCAATTCATTCATGCCCTACTCACAACCAAAAACCTGAAATCCAAAAAATATCAGCCCCATTTTCCACCCTAAACCCTAAACCGCAAACTCAGATAAGTTTTACCAGTGATGCTGCATAAACACCCAGGTCCACAGCACCGGTTTCAAGCCCGAAGCCCCCAAATCACTGGCTTAACCCGGAAGAGCCTGGGTCACTTTCGAAGTGCTGTAATGCGTTTTTAGGGTTTAGGGTTTACGGCAGCCAGAGCCGCAGCATAGACGACCTTTCTTTCCCCCGCATGACACTCGCTCAAATCTTCCTTATCCAGGTGCAATTTGAGATAAGCAGTAAATTTACCTATGTGGGATAAGGGACCTTGTATATAGATCTTTTGGGGCCTTTAACGCACCACTCAACTATAGAATCTGAAGTAGGGGCCTATATAACCTTGATAATCTTCACATGTACCGAGGGTGCCTAGGATACCCTATCCTGAGAAATGCGCATTTGAGCTTTAGCACTACTGGGTTGCTGTTAAGGACCTTAAATTAAGTTACCGTGATCTGAGTATGTAGTAAATACTGGATCTTCTTTATTATAGTAGCTTAGTTTAAGTTCCTAAGCAGCAATCCAGACACACATTCTGATTCATGAAGCTGGAAACATCTAAACAGATGCTAGGTAGGGAACAGCCCAAGTCATAATCGGGCAATATCTTATCTCTTCAAACAATTGCAAGTCTCAAAAAGCAGTACCCTAAACCCTACCTAAACCCTAAACCCCAACCCACCCGCAACCCATGGTTTCATGATCATCCCTCGGTGCTATACGGGGGAATTCCTTAAACAGCAGGCCCCAATCTAGACAGGGGGTTTAGGGTTCAGGGTCCAGGCCTTCTGATAAGGGAACTCCTGAACACCGGCCCCTCATTTTCGAAAACTCCCATATCTACGTTCAGTATGCTCATTTTCCAGGCTTCCGGTATTCTCGTTCAAGTCTACTAAACCATGCACCCACAAACCTGTAAAACTCCCCCCTTCGCGAACCAGCAAAAACAACGCACACCCTAAGCCACAAATTCCATAGATCCTACAAACCCCAAATCCGAAATATTGGAATCCATACACCATAGACCCTTACAGAAGCCCAAAGCAATTACCCAAAATCCAGAAAACCCCGAAGTTCAGAGTCCTGGACAGGGAGGCGCAGCCAAAGGTGATACAGGCGGCTTGAGCTGTTGTTGAACAACATTGTCAGGGTTTAGGGTTTGGGGTTTCCGGGTTTAGGGGTGAAGGGTTTAGGGTCTGAGGGTTTTAGGGAGAACCCTAGGTTTCACGGTTTTTTGCATGTCTTGTCCAGAACACCATGTGGAACAGCTTTCCCAACCAAGATTGTAAAAATGCTGCAGCCTATCTCAATATAGATTCTGAAATACCTGAACCCAATACCTGGGGGGCCCTGGGGCTGAAAAACTGGGCCTTTTCGAAAGAGACCGGCTTACTGGGCGCTTTCAGAATATTCCGCCTCAGAATTTGGAATTCAGACGCTAAATTTAAAATCAGCCGCAACTGCTAATCCTAAACCCTACACCCTACACAACCCTAAAACCTAAACCCTAAACCCTAAACCCTAAAACCCTGAACCTGAAACCCGAAGCCCGAAACCTTAAACCCCAAACGCTGCTTGCAAGGTATCCTGCATGGTCTGGCTCTCATGCTCACATA